GGGGGTTGGTCCTTTTCCCCTCTGGATCTCCTTTTCTTCCCGTTGGCTATCAATAATCTATTCCGAAGGCTTTGGAAGAATCTGCCCTGAGACAGATACAGTAATAAAAAAAAAAAAAAAGAGGGAAGGCCAAAAAAAAAAAGCTTCCAGAAAGAACGGCTGAGCAGATATAGATCTAAAAACCTGTAAGAAGGATGACCGCAAAAAGCAAGCATCTATTCAAAAAAAGGAGAGAATCTCCGAAAAGAATCGAATTATCTTCATTAATTGTGAGGGTTGCACTCTGGCTGGTACCCGTGGGCTTTTTGTAGTTCAGGGTTGCATGGTTCCGGGCGTGACATAATAATAATAATAAGACCGAAGAAAAGAGTCGACTTCATTATAGGCTAGGCTTAGCTCACGACATTCGACCGCCTCCCCTCCCTCCTTCCCTCCCCTCCCCTAAAACTAAAACTTCTCCGGGCCTGCCTACGTCACAACTTTTCTTTCTTCCCTTTCCACCTTCTACTCATACTACCACCACCAACTACCAGTACTACTACTATTATCATCTTACTTACGCAGTCCAGTGACCCTCCTCGGGTTCAACTACAGTACTTCCCATCCCCAATTTCTATCTCGCGACTGAACAACCGGACGACAACAAGTCGATTGACTAGAGAGTCGGCGTCGGGCCTTGCTTTCTCTTCTTTCTACCTGTATCTGTTATCCTTGTTCCAGTCGTCGCCATCTACTCTGGTCTTTGCCACTTCATCCGCTCGCTCTTAGCCCTTATTTTTCTTTTATTTTTCTCCCTGCCCGTCCACCACCCACCCCCCCAAAAGTCACCTGTCGACTCTTTCGCTTTTAATATACCGACCACCACCCCCCTCAGAGACTATGTCTGCGGTCGTCGCCACGACTATTTCGACCAGCTTGCCGAATAATCCTTCGCATCGTAATTCATCACCAATGGACGCGAAAAAAGCTGGTCTTGAGAGCGAAGGTGAGTGTGTGCGTGTGTGTGTGTCATGATGGGTTTTTATCCTCCGTGTGCGCGTGTATTCGCGGTACCTTTTGCCTTATGCAAAATCGCTATTGTATTCTGCATTCTCCCTATGCTCTTCTGTTTAAGTCTTGGCCTGTTTGGGCTTGATTGTACGCCACTGTTCCTCAAATGTTTTGTTCAACGCCCTCGCCATCGGGATGACCTCACAATTGGCGTCATCGATGGCTATCGTTATCAGATCCCTTCCTCAGATCCCTACCCGCCTGCCTGTCTATGCGATGCGAACACAACATCGTCGTTCGCATCCGAACCATCACTTTCACCATCACACCCTTGACCTATCTACTATCGTCGTCGCGCTTTGGGCTTCATCTACCCTCTTGGCTGCATTACTGACGCGATCTTCCTTGGAGCGACAGACTCCCGGGCGCCGTCTTCGGATGTCAAAGACTCCAAGCCTGATGTAGATTCGCAAACCTCGTTGGCGCCTCCTCCGCGACCAGCCATAACAAGTGCTACTGATACTCCCGACTACTTCAACTCAGTTCATAATCCCTTCTCTCTGGAGCCCAACCCCTTCGAGCAGTCCTTCAGTGGCGGTGGTTCTGGCGAGACACCAGGCAAATCCATACTCCCTCCCGTTGCAGCTCTCACTTCTCCTGCCCTGCCCGGCACTACCTCGGCCGGCGGTGGCTACGGCTGGTCCAACTCGTTGCGCTCTGGGCCTCTTAGCCCAGCCATGCTCGCAGGCCCGACCGGCCCCAATGATTACTTTGATAGTATTGGTCGGGGATTTCCTACTCCCAACGAATCCTCTCTCCGTACTGGCCTGACTCCTGGTGGAGGTGGCTCTATGTTCCCTGCTCCTAGTCCAAACTCCCAGGCACTCCTTCAACAGCTGCAAAGCGGTGGTGCGACGCCATCCACCATCGAGTTCCACCGTACTGCTTTGAATGCCGCGAAGAAGAATAGCCTTAATGGTCCCACGTCTAATCCAGCCGTTGAATCCGATCCAGCATCACAGTCCTCCAGCATGGATATCAAACCAAACCAGCCAGCGGGTGCCGACCCCTTCGGCCACCACGATGCTGCTGATGCAGCTAATGGACTGTTTATGCTAGCCAAGGGTGGACAGGCAAACCCTAACCAATTTCCTGTTGCCAATCAGGCATCCATTCAGCCACAGAGCATTCAGGCCAATGACCAACCTCTCGACGCTGGCGCTGATAGACGAAACTCGCAGAACATTAATGGGCTGGCCCACGGCGGCCGATCGTCAAGCGATGCCTCTGATATGCAAGGCGACCAAACGAAGCCTGCTGCCAAGGGTAAGGCTAAGAAGGCTACTGCTGCTAAGACTGGTGCCGCTGCGAACAACAGGCGCAAGGCGGAGGATGCACCCAAGGGACCCAACAAGAAAATCAAAACGAGTAACAGTGGTAGTACCGAACCTCCTTCGGATATCGGTGATTCGGATGAGGATGAGGATGACATGAAGAAGAAGGGCACGACAGATACGAAGAAGATGACTGATGAAGAGAAGAGAAAGAACTTCCTGGAAAGGAACAGGTGAGCTAACAATTCTGGTTTCCGTTGTCCGATTCAAACGGTTATGCTAACAGGCGACGTCAGGGTTGCGGCACTGAAATGTCGTCAACGAAAGAAGCAATGGCTCGCTAACCTTCAGGCGAAGGTTGAACTTTTCACCTCTGAGAACGATGCACTCACCGCCACTGTTACTCAGCTGCGGGAAGAGATTGTCAACCTCAAGACTCTATTGCTTGCGCATAAGGACTGCCCAGTCTCGCAAGCCCAAGGTATCGGCCCTCTGATGATGAACGGCATGGCGACCGGATTTGATGCCCACCCATATAATATCCCAAGCCAAATGGGAATGCAAGGGCCGCCGATTCCTGCCCAGGGGCTCCGGCGATAATGAGCCGTGTACACGATCGATTTTATTCTATGATTAGCTCTTGGACCGCACTAAACCTTGCAGAGAGCAGATGCCATATCGGTGCCAGTCCAGCACGGCTTCTTTTTAAGCTCTGTATTGTTGGCCATTTGTGTCCCATGCTTCTGTTTTATTCTTAAATTTTTCTCTTTCTTTCTTTCATTTGCTTCCACTTTTACTCTGCTTTAAAAAGGGGTTTCTTCGGGGTTACCGGGGGCTTTTCTTTCTCATGGGTTAACGTTCGGGTTGTTAGGGATTGCTGTCTTTTTTAGCGTGTCTTACTAGGGAACAATGACATGGATGCTATTTCTATTTGAGACATCTACTTCTCAACAGACCACGTATTGGGCTCAATTAACTTGAATTGACTTGAATCCTGCTTCTCTCTTCGCCGATTATATTCAAGGCAGCCATCTGTCTCCTAAGTTTATACTTTTTGGTAGTGTATTTCGTAGTCGTTCTGCTAGCTACCTGTTCGGTGTAGGGCTAGCTGCATGGCTTGCGGTACGAGGAATGTGCTCTCGTGGCATGTCATAAAGCGTACCTACTGACGTTTTTTAGGCCCAGATGCATGGTGAGTCGATGAATGAGTATAGACAAATGAATACTAAAGACGGGCAGTGAGTGAGGGCTTGGCGGGACACGGCAAACCACTCAAACCGGACAAACACAAACACACTGACCCCCCATCGGGGGCCCCATGTTCCTTCTACGCGGTCGAGGCGGCCTTTCAATGCGCTTTCCTTAACACCGCCAATTCTCCTGCATTTCATGCGATAGTTTCATTAAGCGGCTGCCTACACTGGTGTAGGTCGCCATGCGTTGCTCGACAAAGATCCAGTGAAGTGGAACCTTGCAGCATATACCTCCCCACCTCTCGCCGCGTCCGTCCTCAGGCCGATACCTAACTATTTCCGAGTGAATTGTTTATTAACTATTGCTCTAATACCTGCGGGCTATAACAGACCAGAGAGACAGCCACGACACATACCAGACAGACTCGGACCACACCACCAACCATGTCCGCCCGCCAACCCGCACGACCACGGCGCATCGATGACGCGCTCTCGCAGCTCGTCGACTCCCTCGCGCCCCCGTTGTCGCATTCGGATCTCCGGGGCGAGTACGAAGGCGATGCGGAGGAGGCCTTGGCCGCCGCTGAAGAAAGACGACACCAAGCATACCTCGAGCGCTCGTGGTTCATCATCAACTCCTACACCAGCACCTCGAGTGACCTAGCCTCACCGTCCGGTCCCACGACGTATGGCGTCAATCGCCGCGGAAGCTTAGCCGGAGGCGAGAATGTCAACAACGCGGTGGACCTCATCAAGCGGAAACTTCTGCGTGAGAACGACAGCCCCGAGCAAGCGGTTCGATTTTCCAATCTCTACTCCCGCCTATTGACCCAGCCGGTCCTCTCTCAAAAGTGGGCGATCCTCTATCTCCTCTATCGACTCTCGAGCACGGATGACGATGAAGAGCATGGGTTCGAGGGTGGAAACCGAAGTCCTCAGTTCGAGCCGGTGCACCTGCAAAGTCCCCTCTTCAAGAACCAGAGGATAAACCCGGGCCGCGGGCCTAGGGTATCGGAAATTTCAGACGAGGACGGGCCTGCTGCCAGCTCCTCGGCATCTCAGATCCCCGCGCGAATCGAGCGGCAAGCTGCGCTGAGACGGCAGCAGGAGATGGGATCGGAGAGGGAGCCGCTGGAGTTGGAGCCGGAGACCTCTGCACCAGCGGCAAGATCCCGGGAGGTGCGGGCCACGCGTAGCCGTGCCAATACGGGAGTACGAGAACCTCCTCTCGAAGAGCCAAAAGGTGTGCAGCCGGAGGCGGACTCGGAACAGCAACCAAAGCCAGACACACCCCAGGAACCGCGGCTTCTCCGTGACCTTCCTTTCAATCTGCAAGGGTTGTCTTCCTCGAATCTGCAATTCGAATCCTCGACGATCTTGAATCTGCCTCCCTCTGTACCGGTACCCATAATCTCTCTGCTAAACTCCCTTGCTGAGCCGTGCCTGTTGTATCGTGGCGTATCGGCTTTCGTAGGGAGTCCGACAAGTGGGCTTCTAAGTCAAAGCCTCCAGGCAGCCCTTGCCAACAAGCTTCAATCTTATCTGGGTCTAGTTGCTACCTTGGAAGGAGAGATTCGACGGGCCTTGGCTTCACCACCAGACCCTAATAACCCCAGAAGCACAGCCACCAGCGGTGTCACGCTAAAGCGATGTGTTGTCTGGACAAGGGACGCGACGATGGCACTACGGTTGATGAATTTAATTGTCGAGGAGGCACAGCGTAAGTACTATGGCTTCCTTCCAGATGGTATATCTTTCTGATCTTGTGCTCGTAGACAAAAAGGGCGGCCAATTGATTTCGTTGATCCACGGGCTCTCAACCTCTCATGGTGACCCTTTCGTACGTGACTTCGCGGAAAAGCTTCTCGCCCATGTGACTCGACCCTTCTACGACATGCTACGGTCATGGATCTACGACGGTGAGCTGTCGGATCCATACAAAGAATTTTTTGTGGTCGAGCCGGAATCCAGACCCAGTGTAGACCCGCGTCGAACCGCGACTTCTGTCTGGGACGACAAGTACACGCTCGCCGAAGAAATGGTGCCCTCGATCATAACCCAGGACTTTGCGCAGAAAATCCTCCGAATTGGCAAGTCTTTGAACTTCATTCGCTACGACTGTGGAAACTCTGGATGGGTAGAGGAATACTCTAAAGAAACCTCGAAGGAACTGCACTATGGCGATACGGCTGGTCTCGAGGCATCGATTGATGAGGCCCACAAGACAACTATGGCGCGGTTGATCTACCTCATGGACGACAAATTCAAGCTCTTTGAGCACCTTCAAGCGCTGAAGAAGTACATGTTGTTGGGCCAGGGTGATTTCATCGCCCTGTTGATGGAATCACTGGCGTCCAATCTTGATCGTCCAGCACACTCGCAATACAGACATACTTTGACCGCGCAACTAGAACATGCAATCCGTGCTTCCAACGCGCAGTTTGACTCGCCAGACGTGCTCAGACGGCTGGATGCTCGGATGTTAGAATACAGCCATGGCGAGAGCGGCTGGGACTGTTTCACACTCGAATACAAAGTCGATCCTCCAGTCGACGTGGTCATTACACAATATGCATCGAGCCAGTACCTGAAAGTGTTCAACTTCCTGTGGCGCATAAAACGCGTCGAATTTGCCCTGGGAAGCACCTGGCGTCGATGCATGACAGGTGCTCGCGGCGTACTAGGCAGCGTCAACGACAAAGTCGGCTCGGACTGGAAGAGAGCACGGTGCGTCATCGCCGAGATGATCCATTTCGTCTGTCAGCTTCAGTTTTACATCCTCTTCGAAGTCATCGAGGCCAGCTGGGATAAACTACAAGCGTCTATCTCTAAGCCCGGCTGCACACTGGACGACCTAATCGGAGCCCACAAGGAATATCTTGAATCCATCACGCGCAAGGGTCTCCTGGGCTCCCCTGCCGTATTCAAGACCACCACTCCCCAAGAAGAGGATTTCCTTAGCCAGTTGCACTACATCCTCAAGGTCATGTTGGCCTACAAAGACGCCGTGGACGGCCTCTACTCCTTCTCCGTTGCCGAGTTCACGCGTAGACAAGAACTCAGCGCGAGAATCGAGACACGCACCGCTCAAGGCCGTTGGGGCCTCACCGACAGCGACGTCCTTTCATCCTCCTCCAGACGAACCCGGGCTCACAAAGACTCGGTCTCATCCATGTCCCCATCCCTGGCAGCATTCACTCCCAACCTAGGAGGTGACGACATCGGCACCCCCTCATCGCTCGCCGACCACGGAGATCTCTCTGCAGACGATCAGATGCTCGCATCCCTACAGACCCGCCTCCGCGACCTTTCTGCAGAGTTTCGATCCCGGCTCAACGTCTTTTTGGGCGATCTCGCATACCAGCCGGACGTGGACATGCGCTTCCTTGGCGTCGTGATGAATTTTAACGACGTCTATCAACCGGCTCGGAAACGACGAAGCACGGGGTCAGGGAGCTCGCGCGACAAACACAGAGCGAGGCGAAGGGCGGCCGCCGCCAATGAAGCTGCTACTTCCGCGGCTACTTCCACCATCGCGGTCGAAGAAAGCAGACCGGCATCTGCATCCAAGGAACCGACAGCCCGACGGGAAAGGAAAGATCCGAAAACGAGCGGCAATGGGAACGAGAGCGGGAGTGCCAACTGATCCCGTCTTCTTTTCTTCTTTTCTCTTCTGCATTGAAACTGGTTGGGATCGACCTTTAGGGGCTAGATTTACCGGCGGCCGGGGGGGGGGGGGGGTGTTCTCTCGGGGTATTGTGCGTTTTCATCTTGGAATCATGGGTTCATCGTGTTCGGTGGTTGATATCATTGGGTCGTTTCGTTTTTTTTTTTGGTTTTTGTCTTTATGGATCTGGGTTGGATGAAAGTGACACGGCAGCAATGAGTAAAAGCTTGTACATGTACATACACAGGTCCGTTGTAAGCTTAATGATGATGATGACGACGACGATGATTGCGGTGGTCGGAGAGACAGTCGGGGACAATTTGAGTATAGATTGAGACCAGTCAATCCAATTGAAATTAATTGCTGTACAACACAGCACAGCACAGCACAACACAACACAATCCCACTGAGCAATAGTATACCAGGAAGCAACCTTTACACTAGACTATAACTACCAACATCAACCTATTCATACATTGAAGCCATTCAATCCTGCACTGTATTGTAACCGCGAAGCCTACCAAGTACAATACTACGTAGCCCGCTCTCGCGCCGCCGGGGCCGAACCTTTGCAGCCCGGACTCACGTGAAAATTTCCCTCCCCCGTCCCCGTTCCACCCCCTCCCCCCCAAAAAAAGTTTCCCACGCAAAACACCACCACCAACCTTCACCATCCACCTCAATTTCTGGGTGCTGGTTGCGTTTATCGGAGTGTTGAGGGCTACGCGACACGGGTTCCTGTGTTGGAAATTTGAATTACGGGCCTTTGATTGCTGCGACTCGGTGCTACGACTCGGTCTGGGTCTTTTTTTTTTTACGGATACCAATTTACGGGTTGAGGAGTGGAAGGGAGATCGCTATGGCTGCTTCGGAATTGGCTGTTTCGAAGAAAGCGGAGGTGAAGGAGGTGAAGGAGAAGAGGAACAAGGAAAAGAAGAAGGACAAGGAAGACAAGAAACCCAAGAAGGAGAAGGAGGACAAGGAGGACAAGGAGGAGAAGAAGGACAAGAAAGAAAAGAAGGACAAGAAAGAAAAGAAGGACACGAAATCCAAGAAGTCCAGCACGGACGAGCGCGACGACGCCGTGAGCGAGAAAGCAGACACGAAAAAGCAATCGAAGAAACGACGTTTGGAAGACGATGACGATGACAACGACGAGACCAATGCTGCGACCAAGGGCAAATCCGCTGCGGATGAGGAGCGGAAACAGAAGAAAAAGAAGAAGAGGGTCTCATTCTCGGCGGACGTGAAGTTGGAGGATGGCAGCGGAGAGTCGGAGGCGGAGGGTATGGAGGTCGATGGGTCGGAGCAACAACAACAAGAGGAACAACAGCAGCAATCAGAGGCAAATGGCGCTGCAGAGGAGATGGATTATGAGGGAGATGGTGAGGAGAAGAAGAAGAAAAAGAAGAAGGAAAAGAAGAAGAAGAACAAGGACAACAAGGACAAGTCCTCCGCTACGGCTGCCGACGGCGGCGCGCCGAAGGTCCACGAGACGCCCATCCTCTCCTACCTCAGTCTTTATCACAACCACCGGTCGGCGTGGAAGTTTCAGAAGAACCGTGAGACGCATCTGTTCAAGCATGTGCTGTCGTTGGAGCAGGTCCCCGCGCAGTATAATGCTGCGCTCTTGGCGTATCTGCAGGGGTTGAAGAGTGAGGGCGCTAAGTTGCGGTTGAAGGAGATCGCGGAGGAGGTTGTCAAGGCGGATGTGGAGGTGGAGGAGCAGGAGGAGGAAGAAAAGAAGAAGAAGACGACAACGCAAGCTGAGGAGGACAAGATGGAAGGAGCAGAGGAGAGTGCCGATGTAGCTCCTGAGCCCAGTTACAAAAAGGCCGTCGCCTCGTTCCGGACGCTTCTGTTGGAGGGCAAAGAGAATCTCGAAGGCCTGGAAGGCACCGAGGGCCTTGACGCTACGCAACTACAGAGGCTGCAGAAGAGACAGCGCGCTGAGCTCGTCCTTTGGGCTGTCACCGGTGCCCTGTTCAACCTCGAGAAGCCCAAGCTTCCCCCACGGATGGCGAAGAAGAACCAAACCCCAGCCAAAAAGAAGAAGAAGAACAGAACCGCTATCATCGAGATCTCCAGCAGCAGCGAGAGCGACAGTGACAGTGACAGTGACAGCGACAACGATCACAAGAAAAAGACCAAGACGCCGGCCAAGAAAGATTCATCCTCCGACGAGAGCAGCAGCAGCAGTGATAGCGATAGTGATTAGTTGCTTGATGCTGCATGTTCTTGTTCAACCTGAGTTGTACAGACTGGTCTCTGTGCTTTGCTACTTCATGTGCATGACAACTCAATTCCGTCCCCATATGGTGGCTATCATGGCTCTATAATTTTGAGCTCAAAAGTTCTTGATACCTGGTTCAAGCATACAAAAGCGATCTTTTGTCGGATCTACGGTGTTGTATTTCTTCTTTCGTGGTGTTTGTCAGCTGTATAGACGTTCCGTATATACCTAGAAGTTGTCAGCTGTTATGAAAGAGTTGAAATACTTGATATCAAGCCTGTATTTCGACAGCATAAATTGTAGCATGCATTACAATATTGGTACTGTGTGGTTGCTGGGAGTAAATGTATTGGTGGCAGAGCGAATTGATGGAGACGGGGAAGGCGGTGACTGGAGCTTACTCAACGGAGCCCCGAAGCTTAGAGCTTCGGCCAGGCACCCTCTGGCACGCGTCCTCTGCCTCCGACCTCATCCTCCCTCCCCAAATCCTCCCCATTACACATCTTATTCTCTCTTTGCTCTCAATCCTTTCTCTCGATCGGTCTTGAATATTAATCTGTGAGATACATATACCGCCGCAGCCATGTCTGGTAAAAACAGATCCCTTCCGATTGTGCTGGCTCGAATGACTTCATCGATTGACTGACAGCATTTGTGAACAGGAAGCGCCTACGATCGACACATTACCATCTTCTCTGACCAGGGTCGTCTGTATCAGGTTGGTAAGTCTATCGCCCGTTATGAACTGTCCCCGCTCGGGCTTCCCCCGATGGCGCTCGAACGGTCTCCGAGAACACTTGACTTACCATCGACCTCCGTCGGCGTCTAGAATATGCCTTCAAGGCCATCACCTCCGCAAACATCACCTCATTAGGTGTTAGAGGAAAGAACTGCGCTGTGGTTTTGTCCCAGAAGAAGGTCGCTGTACGTTCCCTTGGTGGAGTTTGAGAACGGAGAGCACGGCCTGACAAACAGCCCAGGATAAATTGATCGACCCCTCCTCCGTTTCGCATATTTTCAAGCTTTCCCCCTCCGTCGGATGTGTCATGACCGGTTCCATCGCCGATGCCAGAGCGAGCGTTGATCGTGCCCGTGGAGAGGCGGCCGAGTTCCGATACAAGTACGGCTACGAGATGCCCTGCGATGTCCTTGCCAAGCGCCTTGCGAATATCAACCAGGTCTACACGCAACGGGTTCGTGCTTTGATCGTCTCGTACTGAGGTTGAGGGAGTGGCATTTACTGATATCAATGATCTGCTTAGGCTTACATGCGCCCGCTCGGCGTCGCCATGACCCTGATTTCCGTGGACGATGAGAAGGGGCCCCAGCTCTACAAGTGTGACCCGGCAGGATACTATGTCGGATACAAGGCGACCGCATCCGGTCCCAAGCAGCAGGAGGCGCTTAATCACCTGGAGAAGAAGCTGAAGAACAAGGACTATGCCGAGGGCAGCTGGGAGGAGGTGGTCGAGCTGGGCATCACCGCCTTGAGCAGCGTGTTGAGCGTCGACTTCAAGAAGCATGAGCTGGAGATCGGCATTGTCGGCGGGCCTCGGGCTGATGGCAAAGAGGGCACAGATCCAAGCTTCCGTGCCTTGACAGAGGACGAGATTGACGAGCGGCTGCAGGCCATTAGCGAGAAGGACTAATTGAGTTGAGGAAGCAAGCATCCATTGTTGTTAGAGACAAACGATCCATGAATATTACTTTTTTGTGACGCTACTATTGGAACTTGATTGGCGAACCCCCGGATCTGCTGGTAAATGCATTCCCTAGGTCTTTCCTCTTGACTTCTCAACTGCCGATCGATCTCAAAACTTGGCAAGACGTCCGTGCAGGCGCTTTTACTCGGAAATCGGCGATAGGAGCGAAGTTAGAGGTCCCACTTGTTTTTTCAGACGGTGGCGATTTGAGAGCAGGGGTCAGAGTCAATGTGATAGACCTGAGGCCCTTGCTGCAAGATGACAGGCTTGATGAGACACCGGAGAGCAGTTCTCTAGCAGAAGACAGCGGCCCCGCTGCGGGCGTTGATTACAAGCAGTATCTCACTGGGGCATGGAGTAAGGATCGCCTATGATGCAGGCGTTGTAAAGTGAAGTGACCGACGCTCGAGCTTACATGAAAGCTCTTGTGCTTTGGGTGATTTTGCCACCGAGAGGTTTATCTGCATGGGGGATTGGAGAATCTACTCGTATTATGTTTGAATTGAAGATAGTTCAAGTTGAGCCGAGCCTGAGGCTGGAGCGTGGGTTTGCTTTTCCTCTTTCAGCTCTTGCCCGGTGTGTGGCTGAGCTGGAGATGTGGCTTGCCCATTGAGTTTTCTCTCTCTATCACATTCACACACATGGCTCGTCTGGCAAGTCTATTATTGTTGTCACTATTCCGCACAGTACATACATCTCGACTCGGTCACCGGCGCCAACGGTTGTCGGTGGCTGATATCTTGTCCGTAGCCATTGCTGCTCCAGCCACTTATCCCGTCTCAACCATATCTCCGAGCGTGATGACTCTGACTGGGTCTGTACTACTGGCAGTGTGGCGTAAGGAAGCGAGGACTCTCCAGCTGGAGTCTTGTTCTCTTTCACCACCGGTTCACTAGTCACCATGCCACGAAGACGCTTTCCCCACCGAGTCAGTGTATCTGTGCACACTGCACAAATCTGACTGCACGGGTTGTTGCCGAGATCTAGTGTCTTGTCCGTACCTGGTCACTGTTTCTGTCATACCGAATTATTCTTCCCTCGGCCACAAACAAGTGGGGTTAAATCCGGGCTCAGGAGTATTATTTCTACAATTCCATCTTCTTTTTTTAAACCTGGTTCCATTCTGTCAATTGGGCCTGAATTCGATTTCCACTATCGTTTTTCCCGGTGGATATTGCCGAATTCCTGCTCTGGGTCGGATGTATCCTTTCTTTTCTTTTTGCATGATCTTATGCAAGCCCCATCAGCCTAGGGCTGGGTTCCTGTTCCAGGGCCAGCTGCATCGTCCCCACGCGTAGACTAGACGTCAGCCCTCGCTCCAATTCGGAGACCAAGACATCGCAAGCGCTTCCGACACATTGATCTCATGGGCTTGGCTCCTGCCGTTGATCCACCATGGCTGTTGTTCTCCAGCTGCCATCTCTCGCCGCGATGTCTTGTCCTTGCTCCATCGGCTTCCCAATGCGTGCAGCCAGCCACGGTGGGTGGATGACAATGATGATTCCCCTTCCAGCGCAATCCCCATTGCGACGTTGAAACCATGGTGAGGATAATAAGCTTAAAAGGATATCGCCTCCTCAGCCATGGGACTGTAGAATCTGAAACCAACGTTTTTCTTCCCTGGGGCCCAACGACCTCTTCGCCTCGAGCTCTCAGTTAATTGGCTTGCTCCTTTCTTTGGGTCTTCTTCCTGCCAGGCGTCCAACTGTGGCCATACCCACTGGATCCTTCGAGTCTTTCGAAGATCTAATCCTTTGTCAGTGCTTGGATAAAACTATATTGCAAACATCAACCAAGGCAACCACTACTGCAATGGCTGACGGACGTACGTGTTGCCATTATGCCCTTCAGCTATCTGTGAAACGGACAACATCATTAAAGAAGAAGAAGACAAGCTGACCAATTCTGGTGTCGCAGTCAACCAAGCTCGCGCCCTCCGAGTGGCAGAGATCATCAACGACTACCGGACTCTTCTCATGCACATCTCCCAACAGAATGTCCAAGCCCCGGCAGACGAGTTCAACGAAGAGGGGTATAAAGTGATCCGAGATGGCCTGGCTGCTGCGCAAGCTTTGATGTCATCCAACTACAACCCCTGCGCGACGCCAGCACATGCCGGCAATGTAGAGGTCGAGAAGGCGGAATTGCGGAGGTACGCAGACATATCACTTATCACCTTTCTCTCAGTAGCCAAGACTCTAACAACATCACTCCTCCAGAGTCATCCTTGACGCTAGCGCCAGACGCTTCCAGGCGCATCGCATCTACTTGAAGGTCGCGGCCGCCAGACGATGGGTCATCAACCGCCAAAACATTCTGCGTGGACAGCGGCCGGGACCGCAGCACGCGGCTCAGCTGAAGAACGCCAGCAACACGTTCCATGCTGTAAGTTTTTCTCTCCATCTCTTTGCACGATTCAGGGTAGTATTCAAGTCTGACTGACCATCGTTTGGCGCACAGGAGCTAGCTCAAGTGACCGAACAGCACGTGGTGGCTGACCTCCGGGCAGCCGACACGCGGGCGGGTCATTGGCTCAACGATGACCCTTCTCTGCCTACAATCCTTCAATGGATTCGGTCTCACCCATGAGATTTTCTTTTGTTTTCTTTTTCCCATCGGAGCCTGCGAACGGCGGTGGCCTTGAGTGGTATATGGATATTATGGTGTCTATAATTACGGGACTACAGTACCGTTTGGCAAGCGTCCACTGGATGCATGTTCTCTATTGTTGCTCAGCGCTGGTCGCTGGCAATCGATCGGTTTCGAGAAGGAAAAGCTGTTTAGGTGGAATTGTTGGGGCTTTGTTTGTTTTCTTTGTTGGTTTCGATTTTTCTTGTCGTGTTATGAGTATGTGTTGATGGTTTATGATATCCCTGGATGTGATGCTTTACGCTAGACGTGAATTGATTGGATGTGTTTTCAATTCAATGTACCTCAACTATGTTGCATTAAAGCATTCCTATTCCTGTTTATTTTTTTGAGTATATCCTCCTACTCAGTGATCGAGGATAAATTGTTGCAATGTCTCGGTTCCTCCCAGGATAAGCTGGTGAATATGGTGAGCCCACTGTATAGTGAGTGCCCTACAATTACATAGATGGTGACATCGTTTACATCTTCCAACCGACGGCAAACTCCGTTTCGCTTCAGCGGGTCCAGCGGTTAGAAGTGGAGACGGGTAGGGAAACATGCACCATGTCTGACTGTCTTCTTTTGGAAGTGGTATTTATGGGACATTACGGATGTAGTGCAACGAGAGCGGCAGCACGAGAGCATCAAATCTATCACCTAACGTAGGACTGAGTACCTGGTACAGTTCTCGGCCTGAAACACGCGACCAGTCTGATATCTCGCTGATAGCAAACCCGATTCGCGGGATTTAAAAGCAGAGGAACAATTCCGGTCGGAAAATCTCTGGGCGAACATGGGAGCTGGACAGTGGGTAATTCGTCGTTGGTGTTCTCCCAGCGATTGATTGATTGCATGTATCTGTAGGGCTTCTCTCTGCCGGAGATACCGAACGTGCATAGAGCCGTGGAGTTGGGGCACCACGAACATCCCAGCTGAATTTCTACGAATCTCTTGAGTCAGAGTCGTTAACCACCAAAGAAAATGGCTGAGATGGGGACCCGTGTGCCGCTGCCGGTCCTTGCCTACGATGAAAAAAAAAATTTTAGCACGAGAATAATGCATGGTGCGTTGTTCCTTTTTTTTTTTTTTTTCTTGTGCCTCTAATTGGAGTCTGGGAGGGGATGTTGTGGCCGTGCAATCAAGAAAGAAAAATGACGGATGCTGAAGGATGAGAGGTTAATATTGATGTGGCCAATTGGATGGGGACGGGTGGGGGTGGGCAGGTGGAGGGTTCAGCTGAGGTTGATCGGGAGAGATCCACTCCCTCCGTTCCCCGTTTCTTTGCAATATCGCATGTTGTTGTGTTATCGGGGTTACGGCTGGGATGGCTTGGGGGCTGTTGGTGGGAATCGAGGATTTGTTTCGAAGAAGTTGCCAGGACGTTTTCTTTCCCCTCTCGATCTGGGAATGTCTGATATGAGTGCAGTACTACCAGGTCAGCCACGAGGGTAGGGTGTGGCAGTGGCAGCCACGTTGTTTCCTAGCCCATGGTCCACGGTGCCTGTTTCTGCACTCATTCATATTACCGCAGGTGGTTTCTTCCCTGTTGGAGCCCTGATGCCCTCATGCAAATCCCTGTTTGCTTCAAAGCATGATGCACCATGTACTGCGCTGAGATCGATCTCTTCATTCCAAGATATGCATCATGTACAGGGCACTTGTCTCTTTATAGTCACACCGGGAGGCGAAACGTACGCGCGAGTTGGGGTATGGACCACGTCTTTGAGCAGGTTTGTCTCTCTCTGAATTTGGTTTGTGAGTGGCGACTCGCGAGGTATGCTAGTTTCATTGGGGGTTGGCCACTGGGCTTCTACTGTGGTCATTGGGACACAGGACGATAGCGTGTCACCGGATTAGTTCTCGAAGCTGAATGACCCTCGGCTTTTGGAAGACGAATAGTGAAGTCTGTTTGTCTAGGAGCTAAACCCCGGATTTGGCATTTATTTGGCCCTTCGTTTAGGCCGGTTCATCGCTACCTGCGTGTCAAATGAGATATATTCAAGTCGGAATGTGGATGTCAAGGGCAGGCGGAGGACGGGTCGAGTTGTTGCCCTCGCTCCATGAGCCAAGCGTGAGTGACCTCTCACTGGTAGGGCGCCATCAAGGTCATACAGCATCTACAGTAGTCACTGAAGAGAAGCGAGGTATGGACTTAGGACTGGGATCGAATCAACAGTTCCAAGAATAGAAATGTCTATCCGGCGGCGGTGCAACTGTGGCTAGGCAGGTGGAGCACAGTGGCTGCGTGCGCCGGCTTATGTAAGGGCACTGGCGGATCGGGTGACGACATGGATCATAAGCTAAAAGTAAACAAAATAATAAGCATGAATGTGCAGGGCCCATCGATAAGCTCTTCTTGGAAATGCCAGCCAGAAATGATTCAAGTCTTTAGACTAGGGTCTCTATGGATTCTTAAGCCCCGATCATGCTGTATAAGTGTGGCTGCAGTCATTCCCTGTATGACTCTACCATGCTGCCAATTGTGACGGATGCACTCTCCAAAGAAGATGCGATGCTGCAATCCCCGCGTGGTCGACTTTGAGTTTCGCACCCCTGGCTGTTATCTCGAATAAGCGTATATAGCCGAGGACCAAATCTCTGCGCATAGTCTCAAGTGATGGGGATCAAAAGGGTTATCTGTCATGCGGACCTGGACTTAGGCTCGATCCTCGAGTCAAAGTCTTCCAAGCTGATAGTCCGAGGCTCAGGGTCCTGAGCCGCCTGCTCAAGTATGCACCGGATGAGCTGAGCATCATGGTTCAGACGCATGACGGCGATCAAAGAAAGTCCAAGTTGTCGAGGGGCGAATCATGGGAGCCAAGGTTGCAGCATACTCATCACTGGGATGGGGTAGGTAGCATTAAGGTAGTGGAATCTCAAACCTAGAATCCTCTAGTGAACCTTGGGATGGTCTTCAGGCTTGTGTGGCATGACTTATTGGTAGGTAGAGCAGTTAAAGTAAGTTGGTTACTAACCTTCCAACTAGACCGCCAGGCCAAGGCGTCCGCAGCGGGATCATCCCCGGAGGCTGCCAAAACTCTCGATCCACCAACGTCACACTTGATGGTACAATGCCTAAACTGCTTACCCCCCTCTGAAGGCTACAACAAACGACCATCTAGCTGGCCAGGCTAGCCACAGTTCAAGCACTATTTAATAGTTGAACTCCTCCTGCAGATTATGGCCTTCTCTGCATCCATTCATTTCCTGGTTGTTCTAACCATTGTGCTCATCTTCTCGTTTCGATACTTCGGCGACAACCAGACGGTACCTCTGCTGCATCATAACTCTACAAGTACCCTTGTGAGCACTACAACACCAACTATGTCTTCCGGACTCAAGTCGGTGGCCTACTTCGTTAACTGGGTAAGATTGCTGACTGGTCAACACGGGATGTACTCTCCATGCTAATCCATCCTCAGGCGATTTACGGACGCAACTACAACCCCCAGGATATCCCCGCGGACAAGTTGACCCATATACTCTATGCCTTTGCCAATGTTCGCCCAGAAACTGGCGAAGTGTGAGTTGCCAACTGTCATCTATCTTGCCTACTTTCTCCACCACAGCAACCTGGCTGATGTATGCATTAGTTACCTTTCCGACACCTGGTCGGACATTGAGAAGCACTATCCCACTGATTCGTGGAATGACGTGGGTACCAATGTCTATGGATGCGTCAAGCAGCTGTTCCTACTCAAGCAGCAGAACCGCAAGCTGAAGGTCCTATTGTCCATTGGTGGATGGACTTATTCGTCCAACTTCCCCGGCGCAGCCGCCTCGGACGCTAACCGGGCCAACTTCGCTACGACGGCCACCAAGTTGGTCACGGACCTTGGATTCGATGGTATCTAGCCTCCTTCATCTTCCTGGTTGCATATCGGACTTGCTAATGGCGTCGATTCGCAGGTATCGATATTGATTGGGAGTATCCGAAAGGTTTGTCTCGATGCTCTTGATACGTGCAAGGGATTCTGCTAATACACAGGTAGACGATACCGAGGCCCAGAACATGGTCTTGCTCCTTAAGAAATGTCGTGAGGTTAGTGCATCGCCTCAGTGGACGAATGTTGTATGCTAATAGCCCTAGACGCTGGACAACGCCGCAGGTGCCAGCAGAAAGTTCTACTTGACCATCGCCTGCCCTGCTGGTGAGTACGAACCATAACCCTAGTCGCGAGAAAGGCAGTCTCTGGTATCTGACCTTCTACAGGACCGGTCAACTACACCAAGCTCAAGCTGTCCCAGATGACGCCGTATCTGGACTTCTACAACCTGATGGCGTACGACTACGCCGGGAGCTGGGACACCGTCGCAGGTCACCAAGCCAATATATATCCTTCCTCTGACAAGCCCGCGTCAACTCCCTTCTCGACCAATGAGGCCGTGAACTATTACACCCAAGTGGGCGGAGTGCCATCTGCGAAATTGGTGCTGGGAATGCCGCTGTACGGGCGTGCCTTCACCAACACCGACGGACCCGGCACCGCCTTCTCAGGCGTCGGAGGAGGGAGTTGGGAGAATGGTGTCTGGGACTACAAAGCGCTGCCCCAGGCTGGTGCCACCGAGAACGTGGATGCCAACATTGGCGCGTCCTGGAGCTATAGTTCTAGCGCCCGCACTATGATCTCGTACGACACTATCGCTGTGGGCGAGCAGAAGTTGCAATATATCAACCAGAAGCAGCTCGGCGGTGGAATGTGGTGGGAGCTTAGCGGGGATAAGGGAGGTAAGACCGCGAACAAGTCGGACGGGAGCTTGATCGGAACCTTTGTTGAAGGGGTGGGTGGGCTCTCGTCCTTGGACCAGTCGCAGAACGCACTGTCCTACCCGGAGAGCAAGTACGATAACCTGAGGAAAGGTTTCCAGTGAAGTCCCGTACAGATGCACAGATGCACAGATTCATGATGACATGGTGCCCAGTTTGACTTGCTCATGAACATATACACGAGTTCTACATAGTTTAGATATGATGATGATTTTTTTGAAAATTTTTTTGTTTGATTTGTCTTAAAAGTCACTATGGAACGATCATAACGCACACGTCCCATACACCTCACATATCCAACCCTGCAACCTTCACTGTCCTAGTTCCGTGGGGAAGATCGAAGCACATCCAGCTGGAGCGAAAGATAGGCGACTTATCAAAGGCCAATTTACTTGGACTCGTCGAAGACGTAGGTGAGGTGGCACTTGCCGCAGTACTGGCGGTTGTGCATGGCAGCCATGAAGATACCGGCACCGCACTGTGAGACAAAGTTAGTCAACTGGACTGGAAGCAAAGGCAGAAAAGACGTGGGTACATACCTCGGGGGAGGGGCACTCGCGGCGGAGACGCTCGATCTTGCCATCACCGTCGACCTTGTAGTACTTGAGGACGGCGAGCTTGGTCTTCTTGTGCTTGTGCTTGATCTTCTTGGGGGTGGTGTAGACCTTCTTCTTGCGCTTCTTACCACCACCACGCAGGCGGAGCACGAGGTGGAGGGTGGACTCCTTCTGGATGTTGTAGTCCGAAAGAGTACGGCCGTCCTCGAGCTGCTTACCAGCGAAGATCAGACGCTGCTGGTCCGGGGGGATACCCTCCTTGTCTGGATTGAGGGCATGTTAGTGGATTGTTGCCGTCGAAGCAAGAAAATGGATCTGCGCTCGAAGCGCGCCATTTTTGGGAGAAAACTCACCCTGGATCTTGGACTTGACATTGTCAATGGTGTCGGAGGACTCCACCTCAAGGGTGATAGTCTTACCCGTAAGGGTCTTGACGAAGATCTGCATCTTGATGAAGGTCTGATAGCAAGGGTGATTTAGTTAGTTTTTTTGTTCTTGTTCCTTGTGCCTCGTTTGTTGCCTCTGCGAAGAGATTTTTCCAGAAAGGTTCATCCCCTCATCCGGCATGCTTCCTTTTTCGCCTCCCAAATCATCCCACACAGCAAAATATTTGCAACTGTGCGAGGATGAAACGAAGGGGATGGAGAAAGGGGAGCATCGATGAGGGTGAGCATCATGAATCACATCGCAAGACAAGTGTAGGGGGGCGTTCAACTAACCTCGACAAGACTTGTCTTCCTAAACCTTCAGTGACGATCGTGAAGGAGAAATATCTATCTATGGTGGAGGCCGTTCGTTAAAATCGGTTGTGCGATCACGTGGACTAAAGTTGCCTGTTCAGGATTAGTGCTCCTGTAATCGGATAATCCACCATCCGGGTACCCATAGTCATGTGACCTGTGTATCTACCCGTATCATGTGACTGTCCTCGATCCTTTAATCCCCCAGCCATTCCCTGCGTCATTGCTGCCTGAAAGATCCGGCGTCCAGCCCGCTTCCCGTCGGCAAAAGCCCCGGAAACGATATCCAGCTTATCCAGCTTATCCACTCCACTCCATTCGAAGGCACAAATTATATCGTCATCACCGTCAGCATTCCCCCTCCCCCCCACTCACCCTGCCTCAGCTGCAAGATTACTCATCATCATTCAAAGCGCAGGAGGATTGGCGTCAATTATTTGAAGAACTATTGCAGAGATAGGGAGCATCAATGAAGTACTCAGTAATAATGTTTCGAACCCTCACTGCCCACAGGCGGCTTCGATCCGCGACAGGATGGAACTGCCATCGGGAGCTGAACCGCGGTGCAGCCGGCGTCTGGAACTCTGGATCGCGCAGGGGAACACCCAGATAAAACCGGCTCCTTGCAGGGCCCGATCAACTCACGGCCCAAAGGTGCTAAAGGTGCTAAAAGTGCTAAAAAGTGCGTTCGGACCAGGGCGCGATCCACCGCACTGGCGGGCGTCCATGCCAAGGGGCGCTGGTTGTCCTGACGCCTCAACCCAGCCGCGTTGCTACGCCAACGCCGCCATTTGTTGATCTGAACCGTGGTCGGTGGATCGGGATAGCTTCACCATCTCCATCCACCTACCTTGGTTCCCACCTCTAAATACCCTTAGACATCCTTTGTCTTGTGTCTCTCCCCAGCCTTCCTGCCTCCGTTAACCCCGGGGCTTCAAGACCGTTTCGCAATCGCGACAGGAAAGCTCTAGAATCCACACAGAAAAAAAAAGAGAAGGCTTCGGCTGCATCTTCCACTGCATTGACGATCTAGAAGGACCACCGCCAGAACCCACTTTGCATAGATCTGACGCACAGTCTACTTTGATACTTTGAAACTCTCTGTCTCTTCCCTCTGTCCTGCCCTAGCTTAAACACCTAGACTTCTGCGCGCGTGAGTTTCTTTCTTCAAGAGATCACCGACTGACACAATTCCAGGGCGGTTTACTACCATCTGCTTGGCCCAGCCTTGTGGCTAGCGTTGCGAAGAGGTTGGTACTCCCATGCTGAATGATTTTTTATGGCCCGCGCATTAGACTTGACCCAGCAGGCTTACACCTTTATAACCTGCAGAAGAAGTCGGTCTAGTCATCGGCTCAACAATTGCGACCACCGCGCGAAGATTCCAGTTCTTTCCCAATGATGCTGTCCACTCCGCACAGCAATTATCAAGAACGACATCGTCAACATCGGAGACAGATCTCAACGCCATCCGCTCTTGATGCCATTAAACCTCCAACTCTTCCTGCACAGGCAATGCACCGATTTCACGCTCATCGCCGAGGCCAAAGCTTCGATGCGCGCGCTATGCGCGTTCAGCGATCGCAGTCCATGCAAGATGGTACCATCACTACTAACGTAACAGTACCGCAACAGCACCCAACTATGTTGGCACCCGCTCAAGACCACCGTTTTCTCCAGGTCGCGCAGCCAACTTTCCCCCACCATCCAGCGCCCATGCCCATGATGGCTGAATGCCAGGCTTTCCCTCAAGAAGACTTGCAGTCCTTCGCCGCTCGTCAAAGCCAAGGAGGCCAATCGAACATGCCTTACATGAACGCAAACTTTATCAAGGTCGAAAGCCAACCAATGAACATGTCGCTCAACCTCATGCAACAGCAGCAGCAGCTCCAGGATGCGAAACTGTCTTGTCAAGCGTCCTTGGAGGGCCAAATCTTGGACAATGGAGCTTGGGATGTCTACCAACAGAACAACATCGCTGCAGCATTCCAGCAGCAACAAGCTAATGCCATGGTCATTGACGCAAGACGACTGTCGGCGGCACCGGCTATCAGTCAGGCGCACCCAGCGCATGCGCCTAAGCTTAGCAACGGACGTAAGTCTTCGAAGATATTCGTCCGTCTCAATATGGCCCGAGGCTCTAACTAGTCGTGCAGAATATGCCCAGATCACACCTGTGGCCACCCCCTTCAAGCAAACAGTGGGCCTTGCGCACTACAACCCGGACCTTCAACCTTCCCCAACTAAGGAGCAAAGCCTCTCCGTGTCCGGTGCCGCGCAGGCGTCGTACATGCAGCGCGCGAAGTCTCTCCAAGGAGTAGTCGGAACTACGTTCTCCCAGCAGAAGTTTAACATGCCCTCTCCCCCTACTACAGCATCTTTTGAAGTGGATACCTTTGATACTTTTAACTATGAGCAGGGTTCTAACATCGAAGTTCCTAAGTCTGAGAGTCTGTCACAAGGGCCGTTTGCCTCGTCGTCATCAGCCTCGTCGTCCTTCGCTTCGTCACCGGAGCTCGCCGCCATGCCATGTCCTGAGGCTGGGAACGGAAAGGCACAGAAGCTACCGATCTATCCTGCGACCCCCAACCGTGTGAATCACCGGAAGACCCCGAGCGCAACCCCTAGCACAGCAGCCAAGCCAAAGCTCTCGCCACGGGTCGCAACTATTGATAGTCTCAACCTAGACGCTCGCGTACAGGCATCAATAAAAGAAACCGGAGTCACCATTGACGAGATTGCGTCTTATATCCACGGTCCGGACCCCGAAGACGGCAAATGGGTATGCTTGCACCCAGGGTGCGAACGTCGCTTCGGCCGCAAAGAGAACATCAAATCGCATGTGCAAACCCATCTCGGGGATCGGCAATACAAATGCGACCACTGCAACAAGTGCTTCGTCCGTGGCCATGACCTCAAACGGCATGCCAAGATCCACACCGGCGACAAGCCCTACGAGTGCCTGTGCGGTAATGTGTTCGCGAGACACGATGCCTTGACGCGACACCGACAGCGCGGTATGTGCATTGGTGGCTACAAGGGCATTGTACGCAAGACTACGAAGCGTGGTCGTCCCAAGAAACACCGGCCCGAGATGGATGAGAGACAGGACAAAGCAACTCGAACCCGTCAGCGCATCGCCGAAAAGGGATCTTTTGATTCCTCTGCTTCCGACTCCTCGCGCAGCACGCCTCCGTCCGATGTCTTCGAAAGTATGAGCCTTCACGGGTCGAGCCCCGCGGAGGAAATGCCGGTTTTCAGCAACCCTAACTACTCACTGCCTCCCGAAGTATTCACCTTCACACCGCCCGCGTCTCCAGGCCACAGCACCGGCAACAAGCCGTCTCCCGTCCAAAGCCACCGATCGCTCAGCCCTACCACCGAGGACGAAATGCTGCCGTCGCCGATCAAGCAACCCCTGCACCGATTGATGTCCGACTCCAGCCTCCCGTACCTGTCGGATCCCGAGTCGTGCACCTACACCGATGGCTCCGGCTCAGTCACCAATGGTCTCTCTTCCCCGCATTCCGCCCCAACTCTGACCGATTCGTCTGCTGGGTCCGAGCTTGACATCTTCATGAGTCAAGAATCGACTGCAACGTTCGCTAAGCAAGAATTCAGTGACCTGACTGAAACAGACATGGCCGCCTTCCCCGATTACGTGAACACGGCGACCTTCGAGACCGGAATGGACCTATTCCCCGCGAAAGGCTACCCTTCGGGCCCTGCCATGGGCGACGATTTCTTCTTCCAGTTCCAAGTGGACGAGCAAGCCGCCGACGCCGTGACCAAGGAATTCTTCATGGATTGAAAAGATACAGACGACAGCTACGATCACGATCTCGAGGTGAATTTATAACGACCAAACCAGCAATTTTGACGACGCGATGACCTCAGGCTAACGCCCTATGTGCAACAAGACTCTTGACGATTTTAGGACTGAACGATTTGGAACCATGCATATAAGATATGACCCCCTTTGCCTTTTGCCCTTACCTATCTAAAGACCGAGACGACCCGAACATATGTGTACAATGTTTTCCACGAAGAACTCATCCACCCCCCTACCTCTCTTACCTTTCCCTCCGTTTTTCTGAACCACTTCGATTGATTTTTTTACCTGTGACAAAAGAAAATGTTTTGCTTCGCTGCTGCTCCTTCCCTGTTCCGTGTCTACTCCGGACGAACGACTTTCGCTTTTTCGAACTTGCAGCAAAAATTCCGATTGATTTGATGCCTCGATTTTCTGCAAACGAAACCCATGTACGACCAACCCCTTGCCCCCTTCAAGACTTGTGGAAATATGCCCCTTTGCCAATCTACGGAGTTTCTTTTCTACAGGTCGTCCCTTCGTTTTTGTTGAATGCCTTTTTATGTGTGGATTTCTTTTTCGAAATGAACTTTGAGATTTATGCTATTTGTGTGGATTTGAGAAACCTTTTTAAAGATTCTGTGTCTTTTATTCGAATGTTGATTTGATTTGATTTGATCTCTCGAAACAAAACTTGTTTCTTCTACCCTTTTTCTTCCACTTGCGATATGCCTTACGGCTTTGGATTCTCTCCAACCGCTTTTTTCCCCTTCGACTACTGTACTATTCTGATTCCGTTTTGCTCCACAATACCTCTCTGTTCATGTTGTTTTGTGTTTGCGGAATGGGATGGAATGGGATTTCTTTGCTCTTGAGGCATTAATGCGAGATTTTAACGAAAGACCTCCGACACTCATTTTCTTACTTTGTGTATTTGAAGCTACTTTTTACTCTAAACTTCTTGACGAATCTACTTATTAATTCTTTTCTTGATGCTCGTACTCCCGAGTTAACTTATGGGTCGAGTGTGTGTGTGTGTGTGTGTGTGTGTTGCAGTGTATTGCAGCCTGGAGAGCAATGGGCATGGCTTAATTACTGCTGATATAGGAGCGGTATCCTTTTTTTCCAGTTTGTGATGAACTGTTCTAATGTATCGTGGTAGACGGGGCGAACGGACACCTTTGATCTAGCTCTGGTACTCGAAGCTCCAAAGAATAAATCTATATGGACGAATCCTCACTCCGTCGAAATTCTAGTATTGAGTACATATATTTATATATATCTATGATATGATGCATATGCGATACACACAACAAACTAAAGGAATGGAAACTCAACCCATACGCAAGCAGACCCTAACAAAAAGAGGACGATGAAGAGCCACTCAACCATCAAACATCAAACGTAGCAACTTCAGTAATCCGGCCTCCAGGTGATCGCCAACTCAATCTGATGATCCTCCTGCGACGCGAAGACCTTGCTCTTCGTGGGGCCCTTGGGCGCTTTGTCGGCGAAGAAGGTGGAGTTTCCGTGGTATGCGAGCTTGCCGTCGTCGATCTGTGGGCTGTCAGTGGTTCTGCGTCTTGGATGGCGTTATGTGCCTTGGAGAGGTAGTGAAGGGGGCGGGAAAGAATATTTCGGGGCCAAGGGAAAAGGTAATTGCTTACGCCGAATTCCTGCGCTTTGTGCACGGCACCGCCGCAGGTGAAGATGTCCTTGGCGAAGCCGCAGTTACCCTTGCTGGAGTGGAGGGTGAAGAGGTCATCTACACATATTTCAAGATTCATTAAAGGTTAGTGAGCTTGTTCTGGGTCGATGATGATACAGAAGGGGAGTTTGTGAGTGCCAATAAAAAAGGAGGGGGAGGAGAGTTGGAATATAATATATACCTGACGTCTTCTTCGCAGTGAAGGTGGCACAGGTGCCCGAGGAGAACCACGCTCCGCGGCTGATGATGCACCCTCTTTTCTGGCCCATTGTCGAGATCATCAGGTTACCCCGGCCCTGGAACGGGGCGCCGGGGGGCGAGGTGGGCTCCGAGGGATTGTGGGTGGTTGTCTTCGTGGGTTCGTGGCCGTGATGTGGGGTTTTGGGCTGGTAGCGGATGCCACTGGCGGGGCAGTTGGAGATTTGTCCGTCTGGTTTGGATTATTGCTTTGTTAGTTATGGAGGTGACTCGGAAAGGGGACGCAACGGAATATGGGGGGGGTGTAGCGGCCTGCTGTTTGGATGCTCACCTGGGTCTGAGGCGACGAACTTCCCCGATACCAGAGGGCCTGCGACGTTGAAGTAGTACCATACTTCGTTCAGAGCTCCATGCCGACAACGGATCGTGACCTCTGCCCCGTGGGATTGCGACAGCACATCTTCAATCTCGCGACGAGTGTAGGTCTTGGTGTAGGAGGGGATGATGCTGGCTTTGGCGAGGGTCTGTGTATAGTTCCGGCTCGTTAGTGTGTGGTTGTGTGGTATTTATGCTGGGGGGGGGGGGGGGGGGCGAGTGGAGGGAAGCTCACCTCATAGGTAGGTAGCCCGCGGTACAGATCGGCTGTCTTATCGAAGTAGTCGACGACCTCTTGCTGGGGGATGTACTCCGTATAGCAGTGTGTCTCAAGGCTGCTCACGCAGGTACCGTGCTTATTCCACTCGTGCTCCCAGAGGTTCGGGTCGTCGCCGCGGAAGTCTTTCCAGTACGTGCTCATGTAGTCGAGCAAATCTCCACGGCCAGCGTCCACCAAGATGAGTGAGATGTTGCTGTACCTCCGTTTCGAGTCACAGTATTGGTCGAATCCGCCGTTGCAGTGGTCCGGCCTACGTAGGAGAAGAGGGCATATGGGTCAGTCCGGCGGGTTCTTAGAGTGCTGATTAAAGGAATTTCCAGGCTCTTGCAACAGTCGATCAGACAGGAATACCACTCACCATAGGCCATGAATCGTCCAGGCAGTCTCAGGTCCAATGGCGGGGTCGGCATCCCAGAATTGCGTCTGTAGCATTTGACCTCCCGGGTAGTTGAAGCAACAGGTATCCTGGCCATGGTACCGTGTCTTGCAGCTCAATTCGGCAGCCGGACAGTGCTGAAATGTCGATTCTGACGTGGAATAGTCTGACCCCGAGAGGGAAGAGACACCGAGTGTGCCCGTGATGGCTTTCAGGACCTGCTGGGGTCCGGGGAGACGCTGCAGGAGCGTATCTCTCATAGAGCTGGCGGTGGACCCGATAGCTCGGTTGCTGCTATCGGAGATAAACATTGCCTGAGCTGAGGCACTTGACTAGACCTCGAACCGGTAATAGAGCTGGTCAACACTGAGTATAAGAGTAAGGATCTCGGTAAGAATGAGGGATAAGGATGCAATGCAGAGGGGACAGAAATGAGCAGAAGTCAATAATGAGGCGAGGCGAAGGAGACTCGAAGCTCCCCCGGGTCCTGCACGTGCTGGTATCCCATGACTGGTGACTGGTTCGTCTGACTGGTCCATCCGCCGCCGATCCTCCGATAAGAGTCTCCAAGGTTTCTTATCAAGCGGGTCACCTGATAACTGCTGTACTGTACTGTGCTCCGTAATTGCATTTGTCTTCCAAGTTGTATACTTCTCACTGTATACTTCCTGATAGGATTGGTGGCGGGTGACCATACTATGTGCCAAGAATGCGTATAACTATTTACAACTTCACCTGTCCCTCCGACTATTGATTCTGCAGTGAGCCCAGGCTCCCTGTCCGACTCGAAGCATTTCCATCACCGTCATCATTTACCCCCGAGATGCCCACTCGAAAGACGCCCTCACACCACTCCGCAAACGTATCCACATCCCAGACATCGTCCTCACGTCCCTTCCCCTTCCCCTTCCCTCTCACTCCTCCAGCCATCGATCCGCTTCGTCTCTCCTCGGCGACAAAGCGTTCCCAAAACTCCTCATAAATCTGGATTACCCGATCTTGGACCGCCCCGACCAACGTCTCCCGCATCCGCAGATCATCCAGGTACTCCCCCAAGACGCGCCTCAGTCCCAGCACCTCAGTCTCGATGTTCCGACACGTCGGATAGATCCACTCCTCCGCCGCCTGTCTCTGCGCGGTGGCGGTGGCCACGAACTTCGCGGGCAGTGATGCGGTCATTGTGCCGGCAAACCCATTGATAAAGTCGTTGATCACGGTCCGGAGACGGCCATCTAGTTCGACTTTCGCGTCTAACATATTCTCGACCACGCGGGGCAGGAGACCATGGCCAACCAGGCGGACGAGATTGCGTGGGTTGAAGAGGCCGCCGCGCTCTTCCCGGAGCTCCCAGAAGGTGTGCGTTAGACCAGAGAAGTCTAAAGAGATTTCCGGGGCGACGTATTCGATGTCGAAGGCGACGATTTGTTGTTTAAGAATGAGGAGATGGCTCATCAGGAAGAGTTGGCGGTGGGTGTCCAGACGAGTTGGCGGAGTAGGCGTTGCGGGTTTGGGATTGTTTGTAGTAGTTGAGGAGGGAATGAGAATGCTGGCGTGGTGGAGGGAGAGGGTGGTTTGGTGGACGATTTGATGGGCGAGATCGTCAAAGACGGTCGACTGAATGTTGATCAGTAGGATGGCCTTCGATGATTGCGAGTCTCGGGGGGCAAAGAACGAGGACTTACATTGACCAGCCGGTAAATGCGGCTCAGTAACCAAATAGCTTTACGGAGGGTTGGATACCACCCACTAAAGGCATTTGGAGTCTCAAGATCCCACTTCGCATCCGGGTCTACGTCTGCGCTATCTTCTGTTTGTTTTGTGGGCTTCTGGATGTTGACAATGGGCTCGGAAGCAATCTTGCGGCCGGAAATTTGGCCCTCCGTGACCGAGATTGAGAATTGCCGGTTGCGCGCTGGGTAATCCAGGTCCTCGGGACGGGGCTTGTATCGTTCAATCTCGTCGCGGAGGAAAGCTTGAGCACGGAAGACGAGGCGAGTTTGAACATCTTCCAGAGCAGGTTGAATCAGAGTGGTGAAGTCGAGTTGATTGGCTTCCAGGGGCTGTTCCAACTCCTCATCCTGATCGAAAAGGTATCGGGTCTGTAGCAGCGTGCAAAGCTGGCAAAGCTTGACTATCTTGTCCTCGTGAATGATCCTGGGCTGGAGGTGATCATACAAAGGTTCACAGATGGTTTCGAGGAAGTCATAGAGCCCACCCTGACCATGGAACCACTCCCCCCATAGTTCGAATTCGTCCAAGCAAACCCCGCGAATGTAGCTAATGCTCGCACGAGCGAAAGAAACCAGATCCTGTGACGAGGTAGGCGACTGCGCGATGTCGCTGAGATTTTTGCGGACCAGCGGGATCATCAATTTGCCGCGCGTCGCAGCGTAGTTGGCGTGAAGCTCGTTGAGAAGGCTCTGATACTCGGCTTCCGTGCCTTGGTCGGGGTCCAACGGAGGCACGGCGCGTTTCTGGATCTCGAGGCCGATCTGTTTCAGCTCCGGTGCGCCGACCCGGAATTTCGCATATAGCAGGGTGGACATCGTTGTCTCGTTGAGCTGCTTGTCGGCAATCTTCTTGGAGGCATCGGTGTAAATATCGCGTAGAGAAGTGACAAAGTGTGTTCGAATGAGAGTGAGGGCTCGAGTCATCAGGAGCCGATACCTGGAGCGGTACACGCTGGCCTCTTTTTGGTCGGTCTGCACAAGCAAGCTGATTAGCACGGTGATATAACAAGACCATGATACTGCATATACTCACATGTATCTCCATGTAGTCCAAGCATTCGTCGAGCCGTCTGAGCATATCCGAGAACTCTTGCCCGCGCACAGTATTTCCAGCACCCGGAGCATTAAGCCGCCTCGAAGCCGGATCAAGAAATTCATAATACTGCAGATTATCCTGAATGTCCGTAGCTAGTTCTAGGTCGTGCTTCTGCGCGGAGAGAAGCCCTTCGCACTGCTTCTGGAAATTGGACGTCTGCGATTCCACGGCTTTGAAGTCATTAGACAGGTTTGTGAGAAGGTTTAGGGTCGATGATGTATCCGATAACAAGGAATCTAGATGTGACTTGGACAGTTGGAGCTCCTGTAAACATGCTCTGAAAGAAAAGGCAGGTCAGCATTTATCAGGGGCTTTGTCGGCGGCGGCTTGTTGCGCGACTTACTGATACTCATCGTAGCTGGCCTCAAGCAGACTATCCTCAACATCGTTATACCATTGCGCAAACTCCAGCTCATTTCTAATATCGGTGAAAGATTCCAGACCATCCGGGATGGTCTCGTGCTCATCAATCACCTTAGCCTTGATATCCACCGGCGGTCCAGACGGGGCAGTCTGGCGACGACTTCGCTGTCCCGCAGCTTGTTGGCGCATTATCTTCTCACGAGACGAGACTGCTTAGAAGTATATGACTGTACTGGTGCCAGGTGAGGTACCGATTCGAGCAGCAGGCAGTCCGGTCAGCGCCCCGCGAGCTGTTTCACACATGATGGTTGTAAACACGCCGCAACCTCGGTGGCTTCAATGCGCCGCTATTCTGCCGCCACCTTCCGCTTACGGTATCTGACGCAACGACCATTCAGAATTAATCTTTTGGAGCTTTCCCTTGGAGCTTTCTCATAAGCACAGACCAGCCAATCTGGACACTTTGACTGCATGAACATATCATAGGTGCTGTGAACATTATGTGGACATCTCGGGGACGGCAATCGGCGACAAGCCTCGCCGTTCAAGCGTCTCGTCGCCTGGCAAGGGACAGTCGAGCTGCTGGAGCTCCTTGGCGGCGGTTTTATGCCAGCAGTGGCAACAACCAGGGATCTTCCTCCCACTGGTTTCGGAACTCGCTGGGGGTGGCAACCTTAGGTACTGCTGGGTACCTGGGCTATGAGTACGCCACGTCTAAGGGCAATGAACTCGAGACCCCAGTAGAACAAGTGAAGGATCTCACAAACGCCACCCAAGACTTCGGCTCGCAATTTGCGCAGAAGAAACGGAGTGTGAAGAGTCCCGGGGTCTATATCTGGGGCAACAATGCCTACAAAGTAGTCGATCCGGGATCGAAAGACTCGGTGGTGAAGACTCCGCGGAAGCTTTCTTATTTCGACGGCCAGGTCCTCAGAGACCTCAAGCTTGGCGAGACGTCCGGCGCGGCCATCACTGAGACTGGCGATTTGGTGCAATGGGGCAAGGGCTTTTCAGAGACCGACTTCAAGCCTACGACGACCCTGACTGGCAAGAACCTTACCTCGCTTTGCATGTCCAATGATCGCCTCATCACCTTATCGTCGGATGGCACTGTCTATTCGATCCCGATTGCCAAGGAAGACCAACTAGGAGGCCACAAGCCCAGTGAGGGTTCCTGGGTGCCTTTCTGGTCTGGATCGGCTAGTAGGAGCTATCGCAAGCTGCAACCCAGCTTGAGGATGGGTGAACGGGTCACCGCTGTTACCGGCGGAATCGACCATGCTCTGCTTCTTACTAGCTCGGGCCGCGTCTTCTCAGTTGCATCTTCGTCGGAAAACTATCCATCCTTCGGTCAACTTGGTGTACCTGGGTTGAAGTGGGCGAATCGGCCTAAGGGGCCGGTGGATATGTGCCACGAGGTCAGCGCTCTAAAGGGATCCAAGATCATCCAGGTAGCGGCCGGCGACTATCACTCGATGGCCCTCGACGACCACGGCAATGTGTATGCCTTCGGTGATAACTCCTTCGGTCAGTTGGGAATGGAATTCGACCCGTCATTCCCGTACTGCGATGCACCCATCATGGTGCCGATCAGGAGACTATACCGGGGCCCATACCTCCCCAAGGCAACTCGGATTGCGGCCGGTGGCGCCAATAGCTTCATCGCTGTGGACGCACAGCGCGTATTGGGTTCAGATGAGAACCCTTCCACAGTTCGCGACCTGGGCCGTGTTACAGTGGATGTCTGGACGTGTGGACGGGGCATTTGGGGTGCCCTGGGTAACGGTAAATGGACTCATATCCAGGACTCCCTTACGAAGGTGAAGCCCCTGAGTGGGCTGTTCGAATACGATGAGCGTTTGAAGGGACTCACCCCCATCCGCATGCGGGATATCTCCGTAGGTACGACACATGTCTCGGCGGTGATGGACAACAACACGCAGATGGACACAGCTCCTACGGATTCCTTGGATGAAACAAATGCCTGGGGCTACGATGTTCTTTGGTGGGGAGGCAACGAGCACTTCCAACTCGGCACCGGCAGGCGTAGCAACTCGTCCAAGCCGATCTATATCAAAGCACCTGCTGAGAGCAAGAAAGAAGCTGAGAAGCAGGATGCACGGCTTCAGATCATGCCTCGTCACAAGAGCAAGGTCGGCCGTCGCACGGTGAACATGGAACAACGGGTGGAGTGCGGACGACACATCTCGGCGATCTATTCTGGGGTATAATTTATTGTTTCGTTGCACTATGTGAAAATAACCACGGGTGGCAAAAAGCGGTCATCTAAATTGTACATTATCAGGTAGTTAGTTCTGTGGGATTCGGTTGGGAAAAGCAAGCCGGTGTGAAGCTATTGAAATTTTGAGGTATTTTCTTGTCAATGTCAGTTTCAATGTCAATAATGAATGTCAATGTGCAGACAGGAGCTGCTGAGCCGAGGTTACACCAATAAACCAACATCTGCAGCAGATAAGTAACAAAGATAAGTACTAGACAGTCCTAATCCCGCACCTCCAAGAGACTCGCCCGATTCAACTTACCCTGCCTGTCAAAACTCCGCAGAAAAAGAACCCCAGAGTCTGTCTGGGGAACTTGGATCCATCCATGATGTCAAAAACACGGGATTTGTCGCCATTCCGGGACTGTCTGTGGATCCGCAAACGGTTGTTCCCATTCGAGCGCTGTTGCTTGGCTCCACGAATTTCCCAATTGACCTTCAAGTTTTTTAAATTGCGGACAACCCTTAGCTTCATCTGACGCCGATATAACAATATAAACTAGTCTCAGGCTTGGTACGTTCACATATCGATGGCTGCTTCATCGCCAGCAGATCGCGCGGAGGAGGTCAAGAGTGTGAGTCACGAGTCCCTTCGTCCACTTCTTATCCCATTGTCGCATTCCAGCGGGGAGACGATCATGGACATGCCTAACCTACTATTCGTCGAATCAAGACTAACCATTGATCGTATCTACTCCAGCTCCTGAGCGCAGTCGAAGACCTCCTGATCCCCTTCATCCGCAGTGCGGATCTGGACCCTCTCGCCTCCAAGGAATCTCTCGCCCCGAACGACGACGACGACGACGAAAATGGCACATCCCTCGTCGAGCACAAAAGACCTGAGGAGCTACAGCGATTACTCCAGCTGAGCCTGCCGCAGGAAGGCACCGGCCAAGATGGTCTGGTGGACGTCCTCCGCCAGGTGCTCCGCTACTCGGTCAACACCTGGCACCAGGGCTTCCTGGACAAGCTGTACGCCTCGACCAACGCGCCCGGCGTGGCGTCGGAGCTCATCCTGGCCGCGCTCAACACCAACGTGCACGTCTACCAGGTCTCGCCGGCCCTGACCGTCATCGAGAAGTACACAGGCCAGCGACTGGCGTCGCTGTTCGGGCTCACGGGGCCCCGCGCTGGCGGCATCTCCGTGCAGGGGGGGTCGGCGTCGAACACGACCTCGATCGTGATCGCGCGCAACAACCTGTACCCGGACACGAAGCGCGACGGCAACGGGGCGTACCGGTTCGTGCTGTTCACCAGCGCGCACGGGCACTACAGCATCGAGAAGGCGGCGCAGATGCTGGGGCTGGGCAGCCGCGCCGTGTGGGCGGTGCCCGTCGACCGGCAGGGCCGCATGGTCCCCGCGGAGCTGGAGCGGCTGATCCAGCAGGCGCTGGCCGAGGGCCGCACCCCGTTCTACGTCAACGCGACGGCCGGCACGACGGTGCTGGGGTCGTTCGACCCGTTCGCCGAGATCGCCGCCCTGTGCCGGCGGTACCGGCTCTGGCTGCACGTCGACGGCTCGTGGGGCGGCTCCTTCATCTTCTCCGCCGCGCAGCGCCACAAGCTCGCCGGCGCCGAGCTCGCCGACAGCATCGCCATCAACCCGCACAAGATGCTGGGCGTCCCCGTCACCTGCTCCTTCCTCCTGGCCGCCGACCTGCGCCGCTTCCACCGCGCCAACACCCTCCCCGCCGGCTACCTCTTCCACAATTCGGACACGGCGGCCGAGTCGTCGGAAAGTTCCTCCTCGGAAGAAGAAGTGGAGGTTGACTCCCCCGAGGTCTGGGACCTGGCCGACCTGACCCTGCAGTGCGGCCGCCGCGCCGACTCGCTCAAGCTCTTCCTGGGCTGGACCTACTACGGCACCGCCGGCTACGAGCGCCAGATCGACTCCGCCTGCGCCGTCGCCGCCCACCTCGCCACCCTCGTCCAGCACAACGACAACTTCATCCTCGTCAGCGAGAACCCCACCCCGTGCCTGCAGGTCTGTTTCTACTACGCGCCCGGGCGGCAGATGGTCTACCCGCGCGGGTCGGCGTCGACGACGACAACGGCCGAAGCCGAGGCAGAGAGGGCCAAGGCCAACAGCAAGGTCACGGAGCAGGTGACGCATGCGATTGTGCGCAAGGGATTCATGGTCGACTTCGCCCCGCCCAGTGGCGACGAGGATGCCGTCGGCGACGGCAAGTTCTTCCGCTGCGTGGTCAACGTGCAGACCGCCAAGGAGACGGTCGAGGCGCTGCTTAGGGCTATCGAGGAGGTCGGCCCGGCCATTGTCGAGAAGTTGAAGGCCCTGCAAGGTCGCTAGATATAGCCCGGGCCGAGTTGCCGTAGCGGAGCTCCCGAAGAACGGGGTTACGGGTTTGTCGTACATGGCTAAAAAGTTCCAATCTACCTCGAGGGGCAGGGTCCATTGAACTGTGATTTGAGTGCATGATTCTACCTGGGTGCATCATTTTACGGTCTAGTTGGTATATCTCTTTCGCAGTGGCTGTACATGGGCGTGAGGCTAAGGAAGGATAAACAAAACAAAATTTAATAGAATAGAAAGATAGAGATTATAATGTCGCAACAAGACGCTTGTCAATAGGTTCACAATACGTTCAATGGATATCTTATGAGTTCAAAGTACTTTACCGGCCCACAATATGCACAACGGGGATAGAGCGCCCTATTATGCTCAAGCACTACTAGTTACCGATCTCAGCTCGCCGCTCCAAGACACTTCGAGCCTCCGCTTCCGTCAACGAATCGATCCCAAGCTCCCCCAGAACTTCCCTTGCGCTCTCATTGTCCTTGAAAAGCCGTTTTTCGACCTCCCAGAGCCCGGCTCGAGCGTGAGCGCCCGCTTCCGTGGGTTCATCCTCGGTCGCGTCTGTGGCGCCATCCAAAGAATTTGGCTCCGTCGTACTCAGCCCTAGCAGTAGAAGCGCCTCGCTTAACTTCTTCAGCACTTTCTTAGAGCCGCCAGGCTGGCTCGCTGCGCCTAACGCGACATCAACCACACTGCCGAGATGGTCCATGTCGCTGATGAATTGCAGGGCCCCGGACGCTGAGAAAGTGTTTCTCATTAAGATGCTGCTCCACATAGACGTCTGAACCGCGAGAAGAACCTGCCGGGTGATACGGCGCAGGGGAGCAAATCCCAGGGCGCGGGAGAGGAAGGATAGCTCTGCGGAGATGGTACGCAGGACAGGGGCCAGGTCGGACGTGGGCGGCAGAGGGGCGCCGTTAGGAGCCGGTGTTGTGGCTGCCAGGGTTGTCCAGGTAGAAACGCGGGAATAAGGCTTCAGGGCTGAGCGCACATTTGATGTCAGTGTGGATGTGATGATCGACTCGGAGCGGAGTCGTAGACGACGGTATGCGGAAGCAGTCTCGTCAAATAAGGCGCCTTCGGAGGCTGTGCCTTGATCGTCGTTGTGGTTGTTGCTGTTGTTCACGGCCTGGGAAGTGCGCGAAGCAACGTCTGCGATAGACATTGAGCCCGCCACATTCTTGCCCCCGTCCTTATTCAGCCTGACGCGCTCTTGGAGCTCAGTCCAGAGCTCCACGAAGAATACTTCGTTGCTCCAATCTTCCATCTTCTTCTCGAGCCACTCCGCGCTTCCAAAGACTCTGCAAAGTCGTTCAAGTCCAGCTACGCCTTCGACGCTGGCTTGTCCGTCCGAGCCCTGCACGGTCCGACCGATTGCTGAGGTCATTGCAAGGTAGGCCTCCAAAGCTGACTGTAGACGTTCATGAAATTGGTCGAAGATGGTGATCTGGATGTCGATGAGGAAGCGAAGCTTCTGACTAAACGACGATAAATGCTGGTAGCGCTCGGTGATTGTTTCAAGGAGGTCATTGACACGGATCGCGGCCTTGGTCGGTTTCGTTGACGAGAGCTCAACACCATCGTAGTCGATATGTCCACTGTCTGGTGCGTCCACGATCTCTTTGTAGCGAGCTAACGCGAAGTCCTTCTCAACTTGTAGCCAACGATCGAACCAGCCCTGCTTGGTCAGGACCTCCCACGTCACACCTTTCCAGTCCCCAGCGACGTAGGGATCCGGCAGGTAGTTCCAGGATTCGCGGACCTCGCTGTCAAACGTCATCAATTCATGCACAAAGTGGCTCAGGAGTTGTGGGTGTGTGGATATTTGAGGCATGAAGGTAGCTATCTTGTTCCGCAATACAGGCAAGAGTGCTGTAATGAGAGCATGAGAGGCATTATAGAAGTTCCACTCAAGATCGTTTCCGACCTCTTTGACCTTTTCATCGAAGATAGGCTGTAAGAATGAGGCGAAGAAACTTCCGAAGTTGTTCATCAAATCCGTGATATGAGCTAAAAAGTATTCCGGCTGCGACTTGTTAGACTCTTGGCATTCAAAACACAGGGTTGTACGGGATTATGCGTACCTTGTCCAGCCTGTTCGTCGGCTTATCTCCACTGAAGTGGTATTTAAACCGAAGTTCTAGCGGATGCACCATCACCTCAAGCGGCAACAGCACCGGGGGCTCAGCGCAATGATGCTCAGGCACAGAAGCGCGGCCAGTAAGTTCCCTGTACCATATGTGTTAGAGCATCGAGTGCTTGCTGCAACAAAAATCTAAGAAAGGCGTACGGTATCTGCAGGTCGAGAAGCAATCCGACGTTCTCCCTCCACTCCAGTTGTACATCATCCGGGAACTGTAAGTCTTTCGAAGGCCACTTCATGCGGTCCATCGTTCCTTGCAGCCGCTGCGAGAAATGGCTCTTCATTCGCTCTCTGAGCGCCGAAACCAACTTCCCCACATAATCGACCAAGTGAGGGGCGGCCCCTTCTGCTGCCGGCTGGGCCTCATGCAATGATCGAGAAATGTTGCGAAGCCTAGTGTATGATTGAATCGCCGACCTGGGGTCACTTCCGGTGTCCTTCAAGGCTTGCTGGCTGTATCCAAATTTAGCAGTCGAAGCACAGAAGGCAACTTAAAGCTATTTCCCCACCTTAACTCCTCCGCTTCCT